ACCAGTATTGTCCTAGAAGGTCAGATCTTTTAGGTATTCAGGATGTTTGTTGGTCATCTAGGTGGAGAGAGCATGCACGGCATTAAAGGAAAAGGGGGAGAGCAGATGTCTGGGACAGATAGTTGAAGACAAATGAACAAATGATGAAGATAACTCAAGCAACTTAGTGAGGGCTGTGTGGGGTTTGAACACACAATGTTACAACAGGGGATACCACAAGGTCCCAAATGCACAACAGGAGACAGGATCTTGATGAACATATTTTTTACTTGCCAGAGAACGGGTACGGTACATAGAAGGTCAGTCCACACAAACAAACAAATCCAGTGGAACAGGCAGTAACCCAAAACCCAGAAAAACCACAGTACACGAGGAACAATTCTGGACACTTAACACTAAGGTACAAAGACAAACTGGTAAAGGGTGAGTGAAACAGGCAATATGTTCTTCAAGGAGGGGCAAAAAATCAAAAACGGCGGGGAAACAAACAAAAAAAACAGGAAAATTCAAAAGCATAACACACAAGCATGTTGGAAAAAAGCAATTCCATGGCTTGGATGGTTACTGCAGGATAGAGCGGTATTGTTAACTACAACTCAGTCCTCGAGAACAGCCTTGGTAGGCTTGACCACCAGACTAAACCAATTTGTGATTGCTGAGGTCCAGTACTAGCATATCTGAACATACCTGCTGCTATCTTGCTATCATGCTGTTCATGCCGGGAATTGGAATAAATTACCTTTACATATTAAAACAAGAGAGAACCACAATTTTAAACAAGAGGTTGGTTGATGGCTTTATGCTTCACTTGGACTGATTTTATTAATAATGATATAGCTATTGTTGGTTAAGTGAGTTAATTGTGTGTTGGCAGTATGTCACCCACTGTGGCCCTCTGGACCACAATAGAAATAAGTTTTGGTATGGTTGTAGGTTTACTTACGTTTTATTTTGTAGCTTTCCCCCTCTTGTGTCTTGTGTTACTTTACTTCCTGTATTTGTCTTTTTCCTGCTGTTTTTGATTGCTTGCCCTGCCTTGATTGTGTTCACCTGTGTCTAATTAGATTTCCCAGCTCTAAAAGTATATAGCCTGTGTGTCGGTCACCCCGTGCCAGGTCATCGTCTCACCTTAGTGTCAAGTGTTCCAGCCTTTTTCCTCGTGTAATGTGGATTCCTGGGTTTTGTTTTACTGTGTGTTTTTGGCCTCTTCATTTTCCACTGGATTTGTTGGACTGGCCTATGTACTGTACCCATTCTCTGACATGTAAAGACTGTGCATTATTTGTATCAAGATTCATTGTTGTCATTATCAGCTTGGCATCCAGCTTTTTTTATCACCCTCTGCTCTGGAGTGTGTATCAGAAAATAGACGTACAATCTAAATCCCTATACAAATAAATATATCTTTGAAAAACAAACACACACACACACAACCTAACCTATACTTTATCCTCTGTACGCTACCCCTATCACCTATTGTTCGTATATCTGTCATATCCTATAGAAACCCCCTGTATCCCTTAAAAAAGCCAATACCCTAATCTGTGCTCTCTCACCCATGCTTAGTAATCTTTTTTTTTTTTAATGTGAATTCCTGCACCCTAATTCCCTCAACACCTCTCTCTCTGTCCCATACCTTCAACTCGGAAGTACATGTTCCATCGACTCCTCTTCCTGACATCCCTCACACAACCCTGTCTGTTTCTCTGCTATTTTCAGTGTTTTATTTAGTGCAATCTTAGCCTTAACATTACTCTTTCCTCTCTTTCTGCCCTGTACCTTTTTTCCCCAGATTACATGTTTAACTTCTGCTTTGCTGATAGTAACTTACATTTGTATTTTGCCTTTCTTTGATGCCCTCTTTGCCAATTTGTCCACTCTCATTTCCCATCACCTCTACTTGTGTACTACCTGACCTTGTATGTTATTCTAGTGATTGAAGAACTTCATATAGTATCTCTTTGACGGCTGCTTAAATGGAATGACGGAAAACTTGCCAGTACTGAGAATGAATCTGTACAAATTAAAACCTTAAAACCTTTCTCTAGTTTTTCTATCCATTTTAACGCAACCCATACTGCCACCACCATCTCCACTGCATAAACCCCTAATGTATTTGATTTTCTTTTGTTGATTCTTATTGTGTTTTCTGGTATTGCCACCCCACATACTGTCACTTCTCTCTCAGGTTTCTTATCCCATCTGTATAAACCTGTAAAAAGCCACTGTACTCTCAAAACATGATCATTGAATGCACTTATCAAATCAATTGTATCATTTTCTTTCCTTTTAGCTAAAGAGTCTTTATCTAGCCACACAAGCATCCATGGAGCCACCACCAGAAACGGCTGATGGGCTTATCCTTAAATCAAACACTTCAAATCTCTTAGCAGTGTCATTCTCTACCCGACCAGTTCTTTCTCTGCCAGCACTCCTGTGGGATGACGTCTGTCTGTTTTTACCAATATTTGTAAAAGTTTTGGACATACAAGGTTTCTGCCTGACAGCAGTGATGTAGGGAAGCATCTCAGTGGTTGTGGAGGTCTCCTGTTGAACAGACAAATTAAAACTAACATATTGTATGAATATTTCATATTATATTCAAAACGGTACAATGAACCCAAAAAGTAAACTCAGTAACTGTAAGAATGTGTAAAATTGGATTTGGATTAATTCTGAGCAGAATATTTCCTGGGAACTTTTTTATTAAGTAAGGGATAATCACCGAGAGGCCAGGGCAATTAAAACAGTTTGATATGCCCGGCTGGTGGAAGGTTACTGCCCTCCGACTTGACCTCGGCCCGTAACCTTCCACCAGCCGGGCCATATCAAAACTGTTTATTGGCACTGCCCTCCGGTGATTATCCCCGTTCATGTCTACTTCTTACTTGCCAAACATAATAAAACAAATTCAAATACTTTAATAAATTATGCTTTTTCTTATTCGGTATTGCATTCTGATTAAATGTATACTCTGTTTGGAGTTCATCTCCCTCAAAAAAGTAGTCCCCCTTTAGAATCCTGCCTGGTGGCTCTTCCCACTCGGTGAAAACCTTAATAGCCAAAGGCAGTTGCCTTTTTTGTGTTTGGTTCAAGGGCCCCGTCTTCAATTGTAAGGCCAGGCTCCGCATCTGTCAATCTCGGAAACGGGTACCCTGGGGCCCTTGTCTTTTGCTGTCATTCTGTCATCCCAGTGTCACTCCTTTAACCAGTCCTCAAATGTGTTCCCTACTCCAAAATATATTAAAATTGAACAATGAATTCATCCATTTTTCAAAACGCTGAAATGTTTAGAACTACGGTGAATAACGTTAGCTCAGCTGTAGGCTAATTCGTTTCTATAGCAACCACACAAGGCTGCATCTGATCACTAACGTTAGTTTAATAAACATAGTTGCTACATTGTATCTCGCTTTGCGAAACTAGGTAATCGACTGACCCCTCCAGATAGATTTCCGACACATTTTAGAAACTTTTTTTAAACCTAGGTGTATTTTTACAATGGACCTCATGTTTGAAATTTATGTGATAGAAAAAAAATACAAGCGCCGCCGTATTGATCTACTATTTGATGACGCTGTGCTCAGTCAGCGGGCAATATGCCGGGTTAATGCCCTCCTCCCAGCCAATCAGAATCAAGCATTTTTAAACGAAGTAGAATAATTATTTTTATTTTTTGTCATTTTCAATCATACACACTTACTAGCTTTTTCTGACAAATTAAATGTTTTTCCCTTTTGTCCCCCTGACCGCCTTTTATTTATTTAGTTTTACTTTACCATTTACTTTCTTCCCCCATAAAAAAAGGAAAAGTTTTCTAGCATGCCTTAAAATCAAGAAGGCCTTGTGACCACCCGTGAAGCTTTGGCAGCCCCTGGTGGTGGAACCCTGTCAGGAACCACTGTCTTAGTATATTCAACTTATGTCTTTTGTCCGTCATTCTTGGTGATTTTTGAAGAATGTGCTCATGAAAACAAAATATAGTACAGTATATGGTGGAACATCACAGCAACAATCTATATGCAGTATTCTTCAGACACAATATACTATAGGGAATGAGCATGAGTTAAAAATATAGCACAGGCCACAGTAAGGTCATTGTTTCACTGAGAAGTACAACAGACTGGAAAATAACAGTTTTTCTAGAGTTTACACCTCTCCTCACTTCAGAGGGAGAACATCTCTGTTACCATACACAGGCATTAACATATCGTGCTATTTATAGACGTCTGCGTCTTCAGCTGCCAATACGTAGGATTACAAAGTCATCTAATTCACAGGAATTACAGGTAACATTTCAGTGGCTGCATTGCAGTGGTGAAAGCTGTGGTTGTGTGATTTATTTTGCTCTGTTACAAAAGAGCATTCAGGGGAGTTATTATGGGGAACTGCACATTATCGCAGACACTGAAATCAGATGAGATGAAAGTTTATTGATCCCCGTGGAAACATTTGGTGTGTTGCTGAAGTAAAAGCATTGTATTTTTCTGGGTCCCTTGCTAAATCCTTGCTGCACGCTCTGTCACAGGGTGAAACTTTGTTGATCCAACTGGAGAAACAGCTCTTGCTTTGCAGCCTGCTGTAAGGTGGGAAAGCAAATTGATTAAGTAACTTACAAATATTGTGTGATTGCTTATTTAATTCAGATTAGTAGCTTATATGTAAATTTGTGCTGTACTACAAAAAAAAAGTCTGAAGGCATTCATAATTGAGCCCTAATGATGTTACACACTGCATTATAATCATTTACATGGTTAGAACTGCTTAAGTAAGCTTTAATTACATACAATTAGGCTAAATGAATGCATTTCTGCAAATGGTGGAAACATTTGCTCAAGGACTATACTCAAGTACAACTTTGAGGTGTATTTTAACACAATATGCCACTTTATGCTTCTAAAATACTGTCATTTTTACATTTGGGTGTGAAAGCGAACGCGTTTCTTTTGCTTTAAATCTCCATCTGCGCCAAGAACGTAACTGACGGAGCTCGCGAGCATTCTACGTACGTACTGTACGTAGCGCTGGAGCAGCAGGGAATAAGGATACCGTCAAAGAAACACCGTCAATAAACGACGTTATCTCCCTGTTAGCTAGCTGTCGACAGATAACCCTTCACTAACCCCTGTTAGGAAGGACCTGCACTGACAGTCTCCACTGTCTGTTTCCAGCTGCTGTTCGGTGACCAGCGTTATTCCACACATACAGTAGCAGGTGAGTTCGCTAGTTTCTGTCCATTAAAACATTCCAGGCTGTTTCATAAAGCAGCCGCGGTAATGTGTTTGTCTTCCGGCTACAATGAGCTGGGCTGACTCGTTAGAAGCCTGCACACTCGTTTTTGGAGGCAGTGTGTGTCCGCTGACATTTCCTTATGCCGTTGCGTCTTTGGAAATATGTGTATGTCACTGCGCATGCGCGAGATATGAGCCTCTTTTGATTCATGTAGTTTCTCATCCCCCACTCCTGCACACAAACGATACAATATGGTTTTTTCCCTCTTTATTGAACAAATTCTCAATACTCAATAAGGTAACAATAGCTTGCTTACTAAACAGTGAAAAAATATACATACACATATATAATACACATATATACTGTAATGCCATAGGTTGTTTTAACCCCCCAGATTTTTGATTAAGCAGCTTTTATTAGTCATTTTAAGTGACACAAACTTAGTTTTGTAAGTTACAGAGACATTCCCGATTAAATACTTTTTACTTGGTATTTTGGTTTCACAGTAAAAATAAAAATGACAAAATAAAGTCAGTGTGACTTAAAATTACTCAAGCTACTTGATCAAGAATGTCTTTTCTAACTTTAACTGAGTCAGTTTTACTTAAAAAATTCAAAGAAATCAGTTTCTACATTTTTTTGTGCATGACACAGTGGGACAAAAGCAAAGAAAATGAAAAAATAAAAAAACATACATTTAAACAGATACAATTTGATTTTCTACATGCTAAGTTGCTAAAGCTTTAAAAAATCTTGCTTTTAATCATAATTATTTATGTTACTGTAGTATTTACAGCAGTTACAAGTCAGTGAATGTCATTGTCACTTTACTTTTATCCCCAGATGAAGGTGGCAATGCCTGAAAAACATGTCTCACAAAGAAGATAATGAAGGGAAAAGGAGGTAAGCAGCACAAACATGACAGCTCCACTTGTGTTTATTAAGCCTCTGGGGGAATCACTTCATGTTAATGTAATGCAGCAGGGTTGTATTGAACACCTTTTTGACTCTTCTTTCAGCTGTCACCGCACTGAATTGTACAGCAGTGTCCCTCGAACATGTCTGCCCATTGTGTACCACCCAGACTACAACATCACCTTCATGGGCCTTGAAAAGCTCCATCCATTTGATGCAGGGAAGTGGGGGAAAGTCATTCACTTCTTGAAAGGTAAGAGAATGAGAGACAAGAGAGGCAGATGGGGAGGACATCTCCCCGAGCTGATGCATATGGAAACACTCAGTGCGGTTCAGAGAGGCGAAGGAAGGTAGAGAACAAAGGGGAGAGAGGAGAGGTGAGATGTGGTAGATGCAGAGGGAAAGGCAGAGCAATAGAGCACAGATAATTAGAGAAAACTCCCTGTGGGAGTCTACGCAGGAACAGTAGATGAGGCCCTGCGCGGGTCTCAAGGCCAGGGGAGAACAGTCGCTGGCTAACTGGCACGACTTCACACATAGTTGTTGTCAAATTGCACACACAGCTTAACGAATGCACTAAACTCTCAGAAGGTAAGAGTGCAAACTATGAACAGAGCCTGTGCTTACGGAGGAGAACATTGCAAGAATTGGAGAAAGAGTGGATGATATTGCAGATTTAACCAGGATATTTTGGAGGTCATAGAAAGGAACTTGTTGTGATAGATTTTAATGACCATCTGTGGTTTCATTCAAAGTCAGAGGCTGATTTATTTTTAAAACTGTAGTGTATCACCCTTTCTGTGTTCCAGTGTTCCAAGAAAAAACAAAACAGTCAGAGCAGCCAGTGTTAGTTAAAAAGAAGCTAGATGTAAGAATCTAAATATAGTAATGATGAATTGGGAGATTATGTGATGTTAAAATTCAAAACCTCACCTCTTGTAACATTATAATAATGTTAAAAACAAATGCATGTGCAGTATATATACTGTAACTGCATCTTGGAAAATTCAGGGTTGAAGGAAGTTCTTTCTGCAAGTTACTGCGATGAGTCAGATATAGTGTAGCTAGAGGGCTTAACCTGGCTACGATTCATATGATAATTACTGCATCATTATTTTAATATCAATATATTTACTAAATTAATGCTAGTTCATGTTTGTCACATTGATCCATATGGTTATATTGTATTTAATCACTGACATATAAAAAATTCCACTGTACAAAATTGAGGCGGCTGTGGCTGAGAGGAAGAGCTTCATCTCTTCAAATAACAACAGAACTTATCAGAAAAATTAACCCTTATACATACTTGATAAGAACTGCCTAAAATGCCAGAAACCAACTTTGGGGGGGAAAAAATTTATTTTGATACATGGGGACAGTGGGCTCTGTGACCTATACTGCAGTCAGCCACAAGGGGGCGATCAATATGTTTTGGCTTCACTTTTGGAGAGTTGTCATGTTGTCTATCTTTATATTATGTCGATGGTTTAATCAGCAAAAATTCAAAAAATCGACATATTCTCAAGTAACTTTTGCTGTTTGTTATTATTCAGCGTCATTGGATTCATTCATTTAGAACCACAATATTTCAATAAGATCATTTTTAGTACACATTAGTACACAATCACGCAGCCCTAATTGTAGGTTCTGATGAATTGCCTTTTCTCAATTTCTTTTTAAATTAGTGTCGTGAAAATGATGCACCATAAGGGTGACTAGGAGCGTTACGAGCAGTTGTCCCAAATCATGTCCCGTTTGTCCCAAAAATTAGGTGGATAGACATGAACGAGGTAAACAAGAAGAATAGGCATGTACAATCACACCGTAGACAAAGAATTCATGAAAACGGAGGCGAACATCAGATGGTAAAACAGCTGTAAGAATCATGGAAAACATCTGAGAGAAGGTGCAAGAATCATACTCAAGTTTGAGGCCAGTTTGCTGTTCCATTCCATTCCATTTAAAAAGAGCATAGTACCTGAAAGCAGTTCTACCAGCATTACACGTGTAGGAGGGACATCTGAGGTGAGGTGTTTACTGTTGTGTACTGTTGTTGGTAGATTTAAATGAGAGTAGAGATGAGAGGTAGCTTTAATTGTTAGGCTTTGTTAAAGAATGATATGAGAAGTTGAGGACACCTGACTTGGTGACAGTAATATATAAAAATGCTGCACTGAATGTGTGTTTTTAGAGTGCTGCCAAATTGTCATGAGTAATAAGAACAAATGTGCGAGATACAACAAGCTGTCACCAGAATAAAAGACTCTACATTCAAATGAGAGAACCATTTCAGTACATTATCAATTAGTCTATTAGTCTTGTAGTAGATCAGGAGATTTACTCTCTAAATCCTTGAAAATATTCTGATCAAATCACTTATGTAGGCCATTATTCTGCTTTTAGTTAGTAAAAAATGTCCTTTTCATTTTTGGAAAATCTGTAAGAATCAATGTGTTTTCACTTGTCTATTGCACTGATTAGGCTATCATTGATGAGTTGTTGATGTCGTTTGAGCTGTTTTAAACCAGATGATGGCGAATGCAGCCACCACTGCAGGAGGAATTTGTGGTAAACATATCTAAAAAAATGTGTTTGTAAGCTAGCTTCTGTGCGCAGTGGTTCATGCATCTTGTAAATACAGACAGGACACTGCTTCAGGTGGCCACGTGACCACCCCCACCCCCAACTCCTCTGTCCTGAATTTCACCCATTCTCAGCTGGTCATCCTATGTAGCACAAAAGGGTTTCCACGCTTCCTGGCAAATCTGGAAAGTTACATACCAATTTAAAATGACCAAAAATCCTGAAAATAATTAAAGTTGTCCTGGAAATGTTGAAATCTGAGACACTAACCATAAGTCCGGCATCATTAAAAAAGAAGTGCATACTAAGCCTGCTGGTAAATTCTTTGAGCGTTTGGAAGCAAGTGTTGTCCTGTATTGTCAATAAATACTCCAGCAAAATCTCCTGGGAAGTTCCTGGAAAATAACTTCCTTAAAAGAGTTGGAATATGGCGGCATATTTTCAGTTTTAAGCCTCTTTGACTGTATTCACATTCCTTCGTCTCAGAGGAGCAGTTCATCACGGATGGGAACATCGTGGAAGCCCGGGAAGCCACTGAAGAGGATCTGCTGGTGGTTCACACCAAACGCTACCTCAACAGATTAAAGGTAGCTTCATTTTCCCTCAACACTGCCAACCTTTACTGCACCCGTCATTCTGACAGCACCTTCTCCACAGCTCTTCATGTCTTTGTTTTCTTCTACCTCTCCTCTGTGTATCACACGCATGAAATCAAATTCTGCTGTGTGTTCTCATTTAATAACAGCATTAATGGGAACACTTTGCTGACTGGGATTTTCTCTGCTGAATCTTCCTCCTGTTTGTCATTTTCTTTCTCATGTTGCAATGCAGGAGCTGGCATAACAGAGCAGAGAGTTCTCATCAAAATGCAGTGCATTACGCCATAGGGGAATTAGTCCTCATTCAAATCAATCATGTCAAGCATATTCAGAAGATAGCACCGCTCTGAGTCTTCCTGAGTAGATAAGAGTTTTTGCACTTTTAATTTATCAGCCCCAGGAGTTGATAATGATCCACATTAGTTTTTTTCCCTACCAGAGTGGGGTTGGGAGGTTGCACTTTAGTTGTTTGTGGCCACCTTATACAATCAGCGATATGGAATTACCTAAATGTGGAAAAGTCAAACTGATAACAGAAGTTGTACCATGTTCAAAGTCTATTCTCTCCCTCCTCTACTACATGCACAGCCAAATCTTGGAGGGCTCAAGAGAGGTACCTCAGTACTCTGCTGTGAATTTGCATTATTTTGTGCTGTCCTGTTTTGGCGTGAGAGTTGAAGCTCTGGTCTAACCCCACTGGCAGCATTATTATGTCTTCCTTTAGTCAGCTTTTCTACACCTTCATATGCGAACCCTGAACGCAATAAAACATAATGTGTTTTCTTCCCTCCTGTTTGGCTTTCTGTGCTTTTCAGTCAACGGAGGTCCAACTGTGCTTTGTTTTAAAAGTGATCTATATACTGTGTCTAATTGTTTCCTTTTTCACTTTAGTGGTCTATGGTGGTGGCAACAATCACAGAAATCCCACCTCTCCTGCTTCTGCCTAATTTCCTGGTGCAGCGGAAAGTGTTGAGGCCTTTGCGGACACAGACTGGAGGAACAATAATGGTAGGTGTCTGAGAGCCTCATTTCCTCCATGCGTCTTTGTGTTTGTAGCTGATAATATTTACATATTTCATCCATCTTCCTACTATCCAGCCCTATTTGTCAGAGAGAGTCATAGAGATGATGTTCTGGAGTGTATCATATAATGAAATAATGATGCACTCTGTGAACACATTTCCACAAAAACAGCTTTTAAATTCTTAAATATTCATAGATGAAATATAACTCAATAACTCATCATACTCTTAAACTTCCCCATTGAAATTTCATTATCCATAGCAAGGTTATATTTTTAAAGAAATCTGTGTGTTTTATAAAGTTATAAAAGTCCCATTTATTATGTGAACAAATGTATTAATTATGACTGTAAATTAGATAAAGTTAAGTAGCTTAGTAGATGTTGGGCACATTGCTCTTGGTGTCTGACTGTAAAATGAACAAACACAGTTATTCCCTACTTTCATCCCCCTGGATCAGTACTGTGTAGAGCGGGGTACAGGTGTGCAGCACCACTGCAGATCTGCTTCAGTCCAGCACATTGATCACTCAGGCCGATGTGATGCATATCTCGATGCATTGCTGATGATCCTATTCATTAAAGATACAGATGAAGCAAGTACCAATACGATACCGTTCACCCCTATTGCAATGCAGTGGGATTTGATTCAACACACTGCGATTCAATGTGAAACGATGCATGCAAAAAAATATGATGCTACGCAAGTCAGTATGGTTCACAGTTTGATTTTATTTCTTTGGTTCGTCTTAAGCAGCTTGAGAAACAGTTTAGAGAGGAGGAATCAATCGAAATATCTGATCATTGGTCACAATTCTAAACTATTTCTACCTACTAATAATGATATGTATAAATAAATGAATAACAATAATTTGATTGGATGTTTCCCACCACTGCTTTATATCTCGTGGAAAAACTCCTCTTGGTTATTGTTAACATGTATTATTAACCTGCTACTGTCGTTTGCTTCAAAAGAGGCTTAATGTTCACGCAGTTTCTCTTGACTGTCAATCAATATTACGTTAGCCCAACATCGCTCTAGCGTGCTAGCCTCATTGCCCCCGCACAACATGCTAACACCAAGTTATACAGACTAACTTACAAAATAAACAGAAAAAAAAGACATCAACAGGGCAAAATGTACAGCTTCCAAGTTTGAAGTCAACACACGACTTGGAAGACAGGGAAGACGAGATCTGCTGGTATGTGCAGCTAACAACAGAGCAGTTCCTGATATCTCTTCGCTTTGTTCGGGCTCTTGTTGATAACTGTTTTTGCCACATTTGTCACTTTTCAGACCTTTTACATGCATGACAGAACAACACAGGGAAAACCCCAACAAACAACTCTTTAACACAAGGGTGTATAATCATTGTCTATTAGGGTTTAATGCCATATGTGCAAAAGTTTGTACACGCTTAATTTTTGTCCTTGCTGACAGAAGAAGCCTAGGGAAAACAATGAAGCTGAACACTCGTGATGGCAGCACACTGCTGAAGGGAAAACGATGTCTAAGAAAATACTGTAAAAAAAAAAAAAGAAATAAAAAAAAAAGATAAATTTCCACTTTGTGTTGGAGCTCCAGCAACCAGATTAATAGTGACACAAAACTGATGTATTACCAAGTGACCTTTTAAGAATCCTGTTGTGACGGGAAATATCTGATTCGTAAAGCAAGTCAGGAAGATGATGAATGCGAATAATTAGTTTGACAAAGGATCACATCAATTAGTGTGTCTTTTGTAGCTAAATTGGTGAATGAAGATCCATATTTGTAGAATGTAGGATCATTT